AGGCTGTGGTGGTACCAATCCTAAAGCCAGGGAAAGAGGCCAAAAATCCGGGGTCATATAGGCCAATTGCATTAACAGCAGTGTTGTGCAAGATTATGGAAAGAATGGTAACAGACAGATTAGTGTATAAATTAGAGAAAGAGGGTTGGTTTACAAACATTCAAAATGGATTTAGGCTGGGAAGAAGCACAATGGACTCGGTTCTGGTGCTAGAGTCAGATGTTCGGAAAGCAATAGATAACAAGGAGGCTGTTGTGGCTGTATTTCTAGATATTGAGAAAGCTTACGACATGCTGTGGAGAGAAGGGCTCATCATTAAACTGTATGATGCAGGGATTCGAGGGAGAATGTTGAATTGGATTAAAGCCTTTTTGAATAACCGCAAAATTCAGGTTAGAGTTGGAGATGAGTTGTCAGAGGTAGTGGGAATTGATAATGGTACGCCACAAGGCAGTGTAATAAGTCCTGTACTTTTTAATGTAATGATCAATGATATTTTTTCTAATGTTGGAGATAGGTGTGGTCTATCTCTATTTGCAGATGATGGGGCAATGTGGAAAAGAGGGCGAAATGTTAGTTTTATAATGAGGAAGTTACAAGTCGCGCTGGATAGGGTTACTGAATGGGCAGGAAAGTGGGGTTTTAAAATTTCAGTAGATAAAAGTAAATATGTTATATTTGGAAATAAGCGTAAAGTAGGCCAGTTGGGACTGAGTATGTATGGCAGAGTGCTTGAAAGGGTCAAAGTGTTTAAATTTTTAGGTGTGCACTTTGACGAGAGGTTGACCTGGAGATCCCATGTTGATAAGATTGTTGCAAAATGTGGGAAAATTATTAATATATTGCGGTGCCTTGCGGGTAGTAGTTGGGGTGCAGACAAGGGAACTCAACTGATGATCTACAGGGCAATGGTGCGACTATGGGTGCTTGGCGTATGGGAGTGCGGCTAAGACAATTTTAGCGAGGCTGGATGTGGTGCAGGCGAAAGCGTTGCGGGTGTGCTGTGGGGCTTTTAGGACCACATCTATCCCAGCCTTATTAGTGGAGTGTGGTGAGATGCCCCTTGAATTGAGACGTGTGAAGTTAGCCCTTCAGTATATTGGGAGGGTACAGAGCCAAGACCAAGGGAATCCTGTGAAGGGATTGCTGGAGGCTAGCTGGCTGCCTGCTCAGAAAAGAAGAAGAGAGAGTTTAGTAAAAGAAGTGAGAAGAGAGTTTCCTAATTGGGGCAATGACATGTCTCCCAGGGTTGTCTGGCCGAGTGTCCCTCCATGGTTGCTTCCAGATCCAGAGATAGATTGGGCTGTGAGGGATAAGTTTAAGCAGAAGGGTAGAAGTAACCCAGTCGGGGTGGTAACAGAAACTATTGATGAAAATTGGGGTGGGTCCATGCAGTTTTACACAGATGGTTCTGTTGACCCTGGCAGCAAGAAGGCAGCTTTTGCTGTCCACATTCCTGAGGTTGGTGTAAGTCGGGGACATCGGCTCCCAGATGGGGTGTCAGTTTTTACCACAGAAACAATAGCGATTCTGGGTGCGTTGGAGTGGGTAGGTAAGATTTGTCCTCAGCAAGCGTTAATCTGTACAGACTCTGCAGCTGCTCTGATGGCGCTGCAAGCAGGAGTGTCCCACGCAAGACAGGACATAATTTCGGAAATTCTTATGGCTCTGTATAGAGCTGAGGCGATAGGCATTTCAGTAGCCTTCATGTGGGTGCCGGCTCATGTGGGAGTTGCTGGAAATGAAAGTGCAGACTCTATTGCGAAGAAAGCCTTGAATTTGGAGAATGTTACTGTTAACAACGTTGGGATACACCGAGCTCTGTGTAATGATAGGACAGGAGATTGGGCGCAGATGGCAGAGTGCGTGGGATGTAGAGGAAAGGGGGAGGCATTTTTATTTGGTTCAGAGCAGTGTCAGGGGGGGAGACATCACCTGGGGAAAGAGCAGAAGGGAGCAAGTAATATATACAAGACTCAGACTGGGACACTGTGGGTTTGCCCCAGATCTTGTTCTTATAGGAAAGAGACCAAATGGACTTTGTGAGTGCGGCGGGAAAGAAGAGACTGTTCGTCATGTACTAATGGAGTGTGTATGCTACAAGCAGGAGCGATGCCAAATGTTTAAAGTTGTGCTGGGAACGGGGGTTGACAGTGTGTCATTGAAGACCATGCTCAAACCACAAACAAATCGGCGTGAGATCATTGCTGCTGTGATGGAGTTTATTTCTTCCACTAATCTTCATGTGAAGATTTTCCCTTGATGCAGTTCCACTGACTGACTGTGGAAGGCAGCAATACGCCTAGCGGCGTCTAGCCTGCCGAAAACGCACACGAAGAAGAAGAAGAAGAAATGCAAAAAATAACTTGTCTATAGGTTCTGGAACTTAATGAAAACTGGACAAAGAATTCTGAACATCCGCATTGAGTTACCCATTTATATACTGAACCTATATCCATAATCAGATCCTATGCAGATGTGTCCTATAATGTTCAATTAATGATAATAGCTACTACCGGGTTTATCGCGATCGCTTTTTTCGTGCATTAAAATATTATTTTTGTCATGAAAACGTAAACAAATAATTATGAAAACCTCCGTGCATGTGTATTAATAATGTATATGTATAATGTGTTCTCAGATTTTATGATGTGTTACGGAAACGTAGGCATAGGCCAATCAGAAAGGAGGGGGGGAGGAAGCTTGGGCCGTTTTTTCAAATCCTGGCTGTACCTCTCTCTTTTTTCTGACAAACTCCAGACAATCACTTTAATACTAGGTTTTTTTTGATAATCTAGAAATGCCCAGGCTCTCTGTTGAGAGGAGTACTTCTCTAGATTTCCCTATTATATTGAATTAGATTTGTACTGCCAATCCTCTGAGATGACTTCTGTTGTGATTTAGGGCTGTACAAGAATAAATTGTAAATTGAATTGTATTGTAAATCAATGAACATCTCTTTGCAGCAAGGAATTACCACCTTCCCTCAGACAAGCGACCATTTCACTATATACAAACCAGGAAAAGACCCAGATAGGTGTTCATTGTAACGACCATTTTCACTTATGTAGACGTAAAAATGTTGTCAAATCTTTGCATGCCGACTTGAATCAGTCATACATACTATCACTTCAGAAGACCAAACAGGTTTCATAACAAACCGGCACTCTTTCACAAATGTCTGCAGACTTCTAAATATAGTTTTTTTTTCCTTCTACATTACAAGTGCCTGAGGCTGTAGTTTCTTTAGATGCTGAAAAGGCCTTTGATTGTGTGGAGTGGCCTTATCTGTCCCTGAAAGAAATTGGCTTCAGTGACCACTTCATCTCTTCAGGCTTGTGTGTGCACTGTTTTTTTAAGATCCTCTTTCTTTCCTCTAACGCGAGGAACTCGTCAAGGATGTCTATTGTCCCCGCTCCTACACAGCATAAAAATAAACATCGTCCCGGTCCCCGTTTCTTATATTTAAATGTATTTCAGTGCCTTCCTCTGTATCTGCCTAAATAATTTCAATAGCCTGATCTCGTCATACATATGGAGCAATAAACCTCCTATACTTCAAATATCATTATTCCAAAGATTGGATGGTGGTATGGGTTTACTTGATCTGCAACGTTATCACAAATATATATATATATATTTGGCCAATTGAAAATAATCGTAATTGGCAGACTCTCCCGCTTAGTACTCCGGTTTGCAACATTTATATTCCAACCTCCTCCGATGGAAGGTAGATTCTCATCCTGGGAAAGACAGGGTTTGAAATTGGTGATTTTTATTCTTCTAATCTGTAATTTTCTCCAGTCTAATACCACTTCATTCCCGGCTTCACCTCCACAATCTGATATTGACCTTTTGTCTCCTCTGGTTAATAAAATGAAACGTCATGTTTCTCTTCTATATGACCTCCTCGAACCAAATTCACCACCTGCAATGGCCAAGATTAAAATTGAATAGGAAAAGAAACTATGTATTTTCTTGAATGAAAATTGGTGTTCTGCGGCACTGCGGGAAATAAGTGTCCTTCTCATCTAGTGCAAGATTTCAAGTGATAAAATTCAAAGTGGCCCACAGAGCGCACCAAAGTAAAACCAGATTGGCAAAATTATACTCAAACACCACAGACATACGTACATGTATGCTGTTTATTTATTATTATTATTATTATTTTTGAATTTGTTTTTCTTTATTTTTTTATATACATACATGTTTAACTATTTGTACTTAATTTGGGAGGGTGGAGGGGATGTTTGTCATCCACCTGTCCATGAATGATTGTAAAATGTGGAATATAAAAAAAACTCAATAAATTGTGTTGGAAACAAAAATAATAAAATAAATAATTGAAGAACCTAATGTACAAGTTTATGTGTCGCCTGGACAATAGTGCAAATATGATGATTTTAGTGTTGACGAGTAGAGCACACAGTGATCTTCGTTATACCTCTGCACTGTGGAAACACTGGTACAGTATAGATGCCTCCTCTAAAGAGATTTGGGGACTTTTATTGTCTTATGTTGTCTATTTTTTGTGTTTTGGACTACAAGTCTGTAATTAAAAAAAAAAACTAAAAAAAATAATATATATAAATGGCATTTCCATAACTGGAGATAATTGGCTTTAAAAGACTGAAACATATGGTAGCCCATTCTATCCGGCGTTCTCACTAGGGGCGAGCAATGACACGACTTTCAGGCAAAATGCCACAATTTGACGTCAATGATTATAAAAAAAAAGACCAACTGATCAAAGTCATTGATGCATTGGGGATGAAATTGCCCCAATGACAAAGAAATTACCAAGGTACTCAAGCTCTGGCAAGAACCCTATTACTGCAAGTTAATAATAATATTACTTGAAAATTGTGGCTGTCTGCACATTAGAAATTCTAATCCCATGAAAAAGTCCCAAATTCAGTTCCTTCAATCCAACTCTCAGTATCAGTCATATAAAATACATGTTTACAAATATTCAGATTAACGTGAAAATATTTGGAGTTCTATTTTATATGGCTTTTCTTTTCGGGACAGATGTAGGACAACAACATGTCAACCATGTTTTTCACAATTGCTGGAGGCGGGTGGAGCGCGTGTGGGAGGTGGTGCGCCTGCGTCATCTGCCAAGCGTCGATCACGAGCACGTTGAGGCCCTTAAACATGGCCCTGAGCACCTGGTCCAGCTGCAGCGAGAACCAGTCACTATTGAACAGACTCACTTCCTGGTCTAGAGCCTGGAGGTTGGCTGTGCGCACCACCACCATCGTCCCAGGCGCCCTGTCCAACAGCCTCAGCACGGCCCTCCGAACGTGCCGTAGCCGCCTGATGTAGACCTCCACGGGGAAGGTACTGAAGTGGGCCCAGATGCTGAGGACCACCACGGTGTTGGGGCTCCCTGTGAGGCCGTCCAGCTCATTGGAGATGTAGCGGAGCTCGCTGGACATAACGGTGGTGAAGCGGATGGGCGGGCCGTGGCAGCGGTACTTCAGCAGGATGTTGTGCGCGCTGTCCACCGCCATGAACGGCCCCACGTTCTTAGGACTGTGTAGGTTGAACTCCTTTATATCTAAACGTCAAATGAATGAAAATCAAAATTCATGTTGATCATAAAACGAGCAGAACACACATTTTCTGGTTTGCGTTTTGCTTGTGTCCATTTAAGTTATTTTACTGGGAAGTGGGCGGGGCCTAATGTTTCCAATAGTGAAATCTTAATGGATATTTTTAATAATAATTCCTGCAGAAGATTTAAAACACTTTTCTATGGAGAATTACTATAATTTCCTGACCCCAAGCTGCCACTTTTGTATAGTTCTTTGACCCCTGCAGCTTATAAAGTGATGCGGCAAATGTGTGTATTTTTATTGTGGTACAGCTGTTGGAGCAGAGTTTCTAGACTTACTATTTTTGACTCTATAGGACATTTGTTTCTTTTCCAAATAGACTAGTGAAATAGTACTGGCATGGCAACAATGAAGCTGTTAAACGCCTCATTATTAAATCATGTGACCTGTTGAATTAGTCGTCTATCTGCTACATTCAACTGCAGCCTACGTATATGCCCATTTCTTTTGAAATTTAGGTGATGCGGCTTATACACAGGTGCGACGTTTGCCTAGAAAGCATGGTATATTCCAGGAACCAGAATGGAGTGGTGGGTGTGTGTGTGTAAATATATATATGGTTACCCTTAACAAAACAACATCTTACCGGGTGCTAAGTCAGTGAGGTATTCAAACCACTGCCGCACGGTAGAGTCCCCGTACATGTAGATCATTTTGTTCCTCAAACACTGGGTGACGTTGGCTGAGTCATTGAACTGCCGTATTTGAAACCCGTTTACCGGCTTCCAGCGGTCTTCATAGTAATATCCAGAGGGGCCTATTTTGGCCGGCTCTGGGTATTGAGTGTCACTTTCAATTTGCACGTTATCTGAAAAAAAGAGTCATATATCATATATGATGTAATATATGAAGAGAAAGGAAAGTGAAATTACACTCGAGCAAAATGGGAAATGAAAGTATGATACTTTACCGTACCTTTGAGTGGAGGAAGGACAGTGATTCTATCTGGGCCTGACGCATGAATGTAAACTTTGAGGTTAACTCCACTAGAACAGGACAAATAACATTAATTAATATGTGCCCAAAACAATGGACAATATGTATTGAGGGGTACAATGAGAACTTCTGACCCTGAACGTGCCATTAGTCTGTAGCAATAATGTTTAGTTTAGTTTATAAATAAATGAATCTGAATCTGATCTAAAGGAGAGCCCTTGAGAACCCTTGAGAAGAATCATCTCATTTCCGAGAGGGTCCTATACAAACATACAAACATTTAAACACACATACATACTTACCAAACCATTTACAGAACAAGGGGATAAGAAAAGATAATTACATAAACACACAAAAAAGTGCAACAACGGAAGTAATGGAAGAATGTGCAATGGAAGCAAGTAATCTTTTTAACACAAAACAAAAAAGTGCAATTTATTTAGTCCCGTGATGTGCACATCATGAAACGAGATCATGACAAATTCAGCCTCCTCTGTCCCTCTGGTGGTAGCAGAGGGAGCTACAGGCGTTACACAGCATTTATTATCCTTCATACATGGTTCACCATATATTTTATATCAATAATAATTTTCATGGCCAAATATAATAGATACTATGACTTCTTTTATGTGCCCTGTCCCTATCAAATAAACAAATACAATTAAAATTCTACTAGCTGACTCTTTACAAACCTCTGGAAGAGCAGAGCCTCATTATTGGTGATGAGATGTTTCAGGTAGCCCCCCTTGGCGTGGTTGACTCGGGTGTCACAGCCCAGCATCTTGGGCTTGTAGCAGAACCATGGCTCTCCGGTGTGCAAGTCAGTATAGTTACACAAAGGCTGCTGGTCAGGAGGCAGGCACAGGTTGCACACCGTGGTCTCCGACAAAAATCCCAATCGAAATAAGCTCTTAAAGAACACTCTATCCGAACGTTCTTCTCTCAGGCGCTGCAGCACGGTGACAGCTTCGCTTGAATGCACTAATGTGATCTCGACCTGAGCCGAGCCGGTCCAGAGAAGCGGGAACTTGGCTGAATAGAAGCCGTTCTTATGGTCCAGCACTGTCCCAGCTACCCCTGCCCCCTGCTCCGGAGAGTGAAGTCTGGCCAGAAGAAAGTCTCCCCCGTAATGCTTGGGCCTCCCCTGGAAGTCATGTACTTGCACCAGAGCCTCCAGCTGGTCTCCCAAATGCCACTTGCGTCCCGATTTAGAGGGGAGTATGGCGAACAGGCTGTGCCCCGGGTCTGTGGTGAGGCGTAAGGGGAGATGCCAAGGCTGATGGGAGGACACAGGCCAGAGGATGGAGTCCAGAAGGTAGCGCTCCTCCAGTTCATCCTCTGCAGACGGACGCTGTCCCAGGTGCGAGCAGAAACTACGGTTTTGGTAGAATGTGGGTAGAGACACCGGGTTGAAAGAGGTCTGGATCCGGCTCTGGAGCTGGTAGAGTGCCGAGATGGTGTGGCAGTTCCAGTTCTGAAACAACAAGGATTTCAATTCTAATTTTCAAATTTTGGGAAAAAAATATGTAATAACAAAATCAACTCCTCCCTCTGGTGGTTGCCTGGCCTGCCAGACACTCCTCCTTTCTGTTCAAAAGAAGAATATGTCTTTGAAAAAGCATATTGTTTGGCAGGCCAGGCAACTCTGGTGGTAGAAGGTGGAGGTGAAAAGCATTTCTTATCCTCAAACAACACAATTTATTGAGCATTTTTTAATATTCCACATTTTACAGTCATTCATGGACAGGTGGATGACAAACATTCCCTCTCAACATCTTCTCCACCCTCCAGCCACACGTATAACAGTGGCCTGTGAGCAGAGAGAAACTACAGTGTGCGAGAATGCGGGACAGCCCCCCAAATTCTCAAATAAGCTTTAAGAGAAGAGAAAAAAATAAAAGACATGGGATATAAGATTTCCACCTCTCCTCTTCCTTCTCCTCCTTGCGCCTCCGTCTCTTTCCCTATTCAACAGATAATGAGGTCATAGACTTGAAGTATTGGAGTAAGGTATTTCCACTTCCAATACGATTCAAATGTATAATCCTTTTCTTGATACGTAACACAGAGGACAGCAGCATAAAAGAGAAAAAACGTAACTCCCTTTAGGTGAACCATGGATTTGAGCAGATTGAAGACTAAACGCTTCTTGGTGAGGGCAGTGCTGAGGTCTGGGAAGATAAAAATCTTGCGACCATTGTAGAACAGCTGCCCCTTTTTCCTTGCAATGGCGAGTACTTGCTCCTTCTCTTGGAAGCGCAAAAAGCGGACAAGCATTGGCCTATGTGCAGTCCAGTTGAGGTTGCTCCTTAAATGATGGGTCCTGTAGTACGACCACAAAAAATCTGGACATAAAGCCTGTGGGTGCACGACCTTTTGAGTCTTTTGGTAGACCAATTATGTCTAGATTATTTCTGCGTGATCATTTTTTATCCAAAATGTTATACGAAATTGTACTGAACGGTAAAAGCGAAGCGTTAATTTCCTCAAGAACGCCTGATCGGTTCTTCTCCATTTCAGCTTGTAGCATAGGTACCGACAGCTCAGTGGCCGCTGGCATGGTTGCAAGCTCCTCTTTGTTAGCATTAGCGCCTTTTGCTTTTGATTTCCTTTGCTTGCCTGACATCTTTGTGGGAATTCTTCTTTTAACAGTACTCGCTGCTTACTTTAAAGTCAGATAAATGTAGTTTGTAGCCGTTGTTCTGGATTAAAAGGTTACGGCCATCTCATAAAACGTTTAAAATCCACCATGACACCGGAAGTCCCCCTTATATTACATTTAATAGTAATTTATCATTACATATACAGTATAATACATATATGTTTAAATGTTTAGTCAGTATTCTTTATGTTGATAGAATGCCACACAAGGTCACACAAAATTTGTAGAAAGTTTTTTGAAGTACAGCGGTTTTGCCATTCATTTCACACCGTGATAACAGAAGCGAGCCGCTGAACACACTGAGACATGACCCAAACACTCATTACATTCAGGCCTCGTTTAGCAAAAACGACCAGGCTCCTAATTTGAAGTACACAGGGTTTTCATGACAACGGAAAACAATGTAGTTCTAGCACCCGGCAACAGGAGTATAACTACTTTCTCAACAACATCCTCCTCAGGCCATGGCAAAGATCATTCTGCATTTAACAGTTGCAGCAAAAATGGAAACTGAAACTCCAGCTTTGCGTAGTTTTGTTTGGACGGACAAAGAAGTAGAATCATCCTCCGCGTAGCGCTCGAAGCACACTTAGCATTCGTTGACCCGCCACAATTATTGTTTTTCTCGCCTACTGCGCATGTCCAAATGTACGTGCAAGGAAGTAGTGAGGTCAGTGCAGGTGCAGAATTTACACCTTTTCACGCGGGTGTGGAACAACCCCCGCCGCGCTGTTTCTCAACGCTTGCGTTATCACTCCGCTGAAACACCATCTTCATGTAAACGAAAAGCCAATCCAATACCCAACTCTAACGTTTTACTGTCTCTGCGATCTCAGACCTATTGGACATATTAGTTTGTGTCGATATGATGCCAAAAACCCAAGAAATCTACAGTAATTTTATACGTCATAAATATTTGTCCCAGTGGGCACAGAAATCGGGAAATTATGTGTTATTGGTTTTACAATGTTTAAAACAACTTACCTCAAAGGAGTTTATGTTACGAAATAGAAAGATGATCACAGACAGAGCTATGAAGAGGAAGATGAGAGTATATTTTGAAAGATTTCGACACATGGCGACGTCCCATTGGTCATGTTTACGTCCCATTGGACTCCTCATCCATCACCACCATGCGGGGAAGACTGGCAACACACAATACATCCATTTCAGCGGCTTAACATGTAAAAAGGCCTCGACACATTCAACTTGGTGAGTATTTTCTTGGTGAGTAGACGTTTTAACTGAGGTAGAGGAGTATATGCATTGCAAAATCGCAGATTAATTAAAAATACGAGCGTTATCAGTGAACCAGTGAAAATTAAGGAGATGGACCTGTTGTTGCTGTTTTAAGCTGAAATAAACTCATCCTTTGCCCTTTTTCTCCAGCTCGCGGCGCCATTCAATTTTGATGAGTCAAAAATAATCACTTCTTACACCGGGAAAACGCTAATGCGAAAGGTGGATAATGCAACAGCTAAAGTACATGACGCATTATCCACCTCTCGTTACCAGCACTATGTTTCCTTGGCCCGTAACACTATGGACACTATACATTTAGACAGAAAGATGATATAACTAGTCATACATTCAGTTAAGTCAGTTTGTCTTTGCAAACGCTGGACTGTGGCCGCTGGAACCATGGGCTGGAACCGCGTGGCCCCGGGTGATGTACTCCCGCTGTGACTCTGAACTTTCCTTAAAAGTCCCATGTTACGCTTGTATTGTTATCAATACGTGTTGGATATAGGTGGTGTATGTTAACGTAAATCAACAGCAAGTCAAACTCGGTCTTCACGAGACAGGAAACTGAGCTCCTTGCTCCTTTAATAGAGGACTTGTAGACAGGTTACATTTTGTGAAAACCTTGAGTGAAACCTTGAGTATAAAATAAAACAGAAATAATGTACATTTAGCTTTGTGTTGTACAAATACATAATAAATACAACTGAACTAATTAGGTAGAACTAATGCCTGGGGTTAACTTACAAACTATGACTAGATGAACTAGATCACATGTGTCAAAGTCAAGGCCCGCGGGCCAAATCCGGCCCGCGAATGAATTTTACATGGCACGTTGCCTGCCATTGCAATTGCGTTTTCTGCTATTTTCATGTTCCCAGATGTCTATTATATCTAATATGTTTGGGGATAAGCTTGAGAGCATATTGAATGGAGCCAGCAGGGGGCAGCAGCGCTCTCTGAATGGTTTGAAAACAGCTAGATGCACTTGTTGTGCCTCTTTTTCTCAGCTTTTTGGTAATTTCAGTAAAACTTCCCTCTACTCAACTGAGGATTACAAGCTAGAAACAAAATTCTTTTTGCTGATGAAAGTAGTCAGTCTATTCTTTCAGAATCTGGTTTCGGATTTCAGATAGTCATAGTATACAATATTCTGTGGGTCTTGAAAAATCTATAAAAATCATCAAAAACTACTGGCAATATGGGAGTACCTGTTTTGAAATAGGCTGGCAGGCAATGAGTTAATAAACATTGAACCAGTCCGGCCCTCAGCTCGCAGAAAATTTGACTTTGACATGCCTGAACTAGATGAACAGAAATAAACAAGTGACAAAACACTTGGAAACCTACAGTCTTTGCTTTCGTACATGTAGAAAAGATGAGACAAGTGGAGACGGTAGTAACTTCAGCAAACTGTTGCTGCGCCTGGAAACGGCTGCATGTCCTAAGTAGCTCTAAAACAGTTGTTTTGAGCTTAATCAATTTTTTTATTATTTTCAATAGATTTTCACTACCAACCTCTGAACTTAAAATAATACCTGGAAGAGGACGACCAAAGAAGACTGATCATCAGAGAAAAGGAAGCTTTCAAAGACAAAGCGGAGGGGGCTGTGCTGCTTCAAGGCCCCTCACATGACTGTCATACCATTGCGTTCATCAGCTGCAAACTATCAAACTATCACATAATCACCGCAAAAACCCTCACTCTCAGAGCAAACAGCTGTACCAGTGTCTCCCCAGATCTGACTGGTCCCGCGTGGCACTGAATTTGACATTTGTCAGGCTTATGATTACAATATTCTGGCTTTCATTGAGCTGACAGATAAAGCCATGCATCAGACATTAAATGACTGCCTAAAATGTCCTAATTCTCGCGGACACAAACAAAGTACTTGCACTTCCCCATCTTGGCCTTTTCAAAAAAATCCTTTGACAGCCGTTGCATGCCACATTGAGTTTGTGAATGGTTGCTTTTTTCTATTTGGTCTAGGTATTTATGTTTGGAACATACAGTTAGTTCAACACCACATAATTGAAATTGAGGAAATTGAGACCAAAAACTTAGTGGTCGCTCTGCTCACTCACGACCCCATCGCTTCCCCGTTCAGAACATCCACTGTCAGCTTCTGTGGGTTTCGCGGGGTTGGCGAACCTCAACCTAAAGTCTCAGATGCGAGGTTGTTTCTTTACAAGCTCAATAAACTAGTGATAATCAGTAAAAACGCAGTCCACAAGCTCCGCGTTGAAACTTCTGAGTTTTATCGCATACATTCCCGATGGCTTCTTTTAACAGCAAACCATGGCACAAAACTTTTTCAAAAAATTTGAACACGAATGTTATCGCTGTCCTCAGAGAATCCCTCGAACCTTCTCTGTCCCAATCAAGCCCCGGTGATCCAAGATGGCGCCCTATTCAAATAAATTGGCTTGTGCTGAAAGATTAGCGGAACTCGTCTATATTTGGGCATTGTCTGGTCCTCCCAGTTCAAGGCAGTGGACGAGCTCCCATGATGTGTTGCGCCAAATACGTATGTGTGGCTCTCATGCTTTGACTAATCAGAGCTGCTGATCGAAGCAGCGGTAGAGTGGAGTCAGAGCGGGAAGGAAAACAACAGAGTTTGTGGCAGTAAAGTGTGGAAAGGGAAACCGAAGGATTTAAGAAGAAAAAAATTTCAGGATGACAAGGGACACTAAAATCCCCACAAAATCCGATCTTTATGAAAGCTGTAGGTTCTCTGTCAGCTGAGGTCGAGCTGTTTTAGTTTACATTGAGTTCTGTGGGACTTTTTTCTGGGTAGCCCTCGTGAATTTAGTCTGCAGTACCACGGGCGCCCCCTGTGCCCATTGGTGGGACAGCTATAAGCTATACCCTAGTAATACCCTATCCAGTTATTATTATAAAGATCCATGGTCCCAATTCGATGTTATGTCACCTTAATTGACCATCAAAAAATCATACAAAAAATAAAAATACACATTTACACATGTACAATATTGTAAAGAAAATAAATATGAATTATGCATTTATACACTGATTTTAACCCTTTATAGAGAACCATATCTGCTAATGAATAATGAATTAAAACAAATTGTCATTTTAACTTTTATAACCTTGTTACAACTTTTATCCATTTAGATTATTATCTGGGTTACACTTGTTTCTTTATTCCAATTAGTTTAGTTATCCTTAATTTTCCATATATTCCTAATGTTCTGTAACTTAAGATGCAACACTGAAATGTCCCCACTGTGGGACGAATAAAGCATCTTTTTTATAATTATGGTTAGGGCTGGGCAATAAATCGAATTTAGGCAATTAAGCGGCTTTTGAAAAAATCGAATTTGTGAAAACTTTGAAAATCGTTAAATCGAATGAAGGATATTATGAGAGTTCCAGCAGCACAAAAATTATACTTGCAATTACAGGACATAGTCTGTCCAAGACTTTTATAATACGTATTGGGGGAAACAAATTAAAAATAGTTTTGAAACTTGAATATCGAGCGGAAAGATCAAAACATATTTTTACGGGCAAAGTCTGTCTTCGGTGACTTTAATGAAAATCGAAATCGTCCAAAGCTGGAAGTAAAATCAAGATTTTACTTTTTTGCCCTATCGCCCTGCCCTAATTATAGTTATATTTTTCTTTAATTACAGTCATACAAGGAAGACGGGCAAGTGGTCTGTTAGATCATTTAAAAGAAAACCACTTTAGAATATTTGAAAATAGTAGCATGATATGTGATACGATTAGGTCGAGTCATTTGAGGATGAATGTCATGGTGTGGCTTTTATTTTTGTACTTTGGTTTTATTTTGACATTGTTTCTCTGTGGTTTTGTTTTGAGTTTGACTTCTGTTTTCACCTGGACATCAATTTTCTTAAATCATTATTTAATAAAATTGATGTCCAGGTGAAAACAAAACTCAAAATCCAAAATACAGAACCAGGAACAGGACGGAACAGAAGTGTACAATACAATGGATCAGCCACATGTGGAGAGGGGCACAGGGTAATTATAGACATGGACACAGGTGAAACACATCAGGGCGGGGCAGACAATCAAGACAGGGGAAACAGCACAGAAGTCAAACTCAAAACAAAACCACAGAGAAACAATGTCAAAATAAAACCAAAGTACAAAAATAAAAGCCACACCATGACAATGAAGGGTTCGGCTACACAGAACATGCTTAGTTTAAGCAGATCGATTACATTTCCACTTCCATTAAACAAGATGTGATCAATACAAGTGTTTAATACATCTATATCAGAACCAGGTGGATAGACACAAGACCAGTGTGTTCTTTTTCCCCACAATAATCAATTGTAATATATTAAAGAACATTATCCACACATTTTGCTGTGCAAATGTATTTGTATTTGTGGATTTCAATAATTATTTGACATGTGAAATTTGTCTTCTGCTAAATCCGCTGAGTAGAATCTCAAACTGCATCTGTATCTTCTTCCTAAAAATGCACATTTTTCTATGTATTCTAAAAGTTGGTTCTACGTCATGGTGCTACGTCCCTTAGGACTTCGCTAGTGGGATATCACGTGACCCCCAGGTCACACGCCAGAGAGATCAAATATATATAAATATGCTCCAATCACTAGGCGACCCTCCTCTATAAAAGCCCCTGCACAAGGCCGCGCCCCCTCTTTCACTCTGGCGCCGATTGAGATCATACTTACATCTACTACATCTACTTTGTCTGCTGAGATGTCTGCCTCGACTGCTCGTCCAATTTCCCCTTCGCCCTCCGGCGTCGGACGTCGTCGTTGCTTGGAGTGTCGGGTCGGGCTCCGGCGCACGGACCAGCATTCACGCTGTTCTTGTGCCAGGGCTCGGGCCATGCGGCGGAGAGCGCTAGCTGCGCCTCGTGTCTCGCTCTCCCCA